TGGGGACCAGCGTGGGGGCCTCGGGCCACATCAAGCGCTGCTCTTGTGGGCAACGAACCCCTGCAGACCCCGCAGTGGGGGCAGCACAGGCCTCAGGACACACAGTGGTGGTTGGATGGGGGTGGGAGCTGAGTCACTGAGGGCCAAGGGGGAGCCCTGGGGACCCCATGACCGGTCTCTCCAGCCTGTCACCTGAGGGTGAGGGGGCCGCCAAGAATTTTGCTGGGACACCCAGCCCTGAAGCCACCAGGGTCAGAGGTCAGGGTACTCTGGCCCCAACAAGAGCTACTCCAGTGGTGAGGACATAGGGTCGCCTAGGAGGTTCTCTGCGAGACCCAGGATGTGCCCTGTGCTGACTAGTGGCACCCACAAGCAGGGTACAAGCTGTGGGAGGGGTGGGGTGCCATCCCAAGTCACAGAGGTCCCAGAGCTGCCATGTCAGAGACCAGGATGCCTTTTCCAGCCCAGGAGACTGTTGAGTGGCTCAGACTTGCTTCATCAGTCATTTTCAAAAGTCATAAACCCCACTGAAGGTGAAGTCCCACGTGGAGATTCTGAATGAGTGGCGAGTGACAGCAAAGGGTAAATCTCAGGGCACAAAACCTAAATGCACAGCTGCAAACCTCGGTGCCAGAAGAAGCAACTGAGGGCACGGCTTACCGAGCCTGCAGCACAACGTAGGTAATCCATCTCGGAAGGAAACACGTTGCCCAGGTACAGCGAAAACCCCGAGGTCACCAGCAGACAGCCCTGCAACACAGCAGCACGGCTCAGGCAATAGCGTGGCCATGTCTGAACACCACAGGGCACAGCTGTCTGCATGGCACCAACATAGAGCCTGGATCCTGCCGGACCTGACTCCTGCTTGGAGGATGGCCATGGCCCACCCTCCCCCCAGTGACAGGCTATGGGCTTCAATACTTATTTGGGGAAGGAAAGGAGGGGCCCTTTCAAAATTTAAGGCAAGAAATGGTGCCTCTCCCCAGAAAACGCTGTCACCCCAACGTGTGCAATTTCTGGGCCTCAGGATCCCCACCCCCAGGTCCAGACACAAAGTCCCATTCACCTCAGGACTGAGAGGTGGAAACTCACTGCAGAGGGTAAGGTCACAAGGTGCAGGTCAGTGTTAAAGGTCACTCGGACCCTGGATCTGGGCAGCGGACCTTGTGTGTCCCACTGAATGGCAGTGCTGGGCCTGGGGGCTTGGGAGCCTGAGGGGCAGAGGAGACCATGGCCCATACCTAAGTGAGGACGGGGCAGCAGGATCAGGGGCTGTGGCCGCAGGTGGCTGGGGTTGCTACTCAGAGTCTAGGGCCCCAGGAGCAGGAGGGAGCAGGAGCCTCCTTAGTACCCCACGTGGGTGGGGGTTCCAGTCTCAGTAGGTCAGAGACGGGGTCACGGCAGGGGGAAGGTGAGCAGAACTATTGGGGGTACTGCCAGGCGGACCTGAGGCCTGGGGAGGGTAACAAGGTCCCGGCCTGGATCCTGGTTCTCAGCCAGGGTGGCATGGAGCCCTGGGGTTCCCAGGTAACCACCGCGGCCAAAATAACTCCTGCAGTCGTCATGGGCCCATCCAAGCCCATCTGAGGATGAGTGTCCCAGCACCTCAGGCAAGTCCCTCAAGTGTTTGGTCCCCCTGAGGTCTGACTCCCAGCTCCCCGCTGGCCCTGTTCTTCTGACTCCATGGCCCTGGCCTCCTGCCCCAGGACACTGTCCCACCATTCACTCTGCCAGAGGCTCCTCCCCACCTCTGCAGGGTGACTCTAGACATCCCCACCCCAGGAGTCGAGGGTCAAGGAGGCCATCCCAGCACCATGCATGACCCTGCAGATGGTCAGGTGGGCCCTAGGCTGTCCCAACCTCGGCAGGACATGAAGCAGTCAGAGCCCAAAGGCCCAAGGGGCTGGTGCCATATATACCAGCGAGCAGAGGACAGTGATTCGGAGAACACAGCACCACGGGGCTCTCCAGAGCAGGGTAATGGACTAGCTCTGTCCCATTGGGCCTGGGAGAAACACCAGCCAGGGCACACCTGGTGCAGCTACTCACCCCCATCAACACGGAGAAGACCCACGTCTTGTGACTGAAGCAGGGGGGCAGCCTCGACGACAGCTGCAGGTCGCCAGGCTTGGTGTCCGCGTAGCTCCCCGCGTCTGGCCTGCCCCGCTCCAGGGTGGCCATCCGGTCATAGCTGAGCTCCTCCCTGCAGGGCTCCTCCCTCGTCATGGCGCTGGGGACAGACAAGGACCTCAGTGCCACAGGGCAGCTGTGCTCGGAGCTCGGTGTCACCACTGTTCTCAACCACTCTGAAAATGCTCCAGTTAAAATAAATCGTTTTTCAGCCCTTGCTGGTTTTCTCAGCGGTTAGAGCATCGACCTGTGGACTGAAGGGTCCCGGGTTCGATTCTGGCCAAGGGCAGGTACCGTGGTCGCAGGCTCAGTCCCCGCCCCGTCCTGGTGCATGCAGGAGACAACCAATCAATGTCTCTCTCACATCGATGTTTCTCTCTCCCTTCCACTCTCCCTGAAAAGCAATGGAGAAGGTATCCTCCGGTGAGGGTTAAAAGAAGTGCTGTGAACCTGAAGAAGGAATTCGTTTCCCTCTTCACTTAACAAGCTGACGAAGCCACTTTCCCAGCAAACCTCTGTCTGGACTCAGGGAGGGCGCTGGGCTTCGGGTGCCCACTGACCGGCCCTCAGTCCTTTCAACTTCCGCCTCCCAAGACACACTGGCTCCTCCAAGCCCTTAAATTGCTCAGGGTGGTAACTGAGCCTGCAAACACGCCCCACCCCCCGCGTCAGGTCCTGTCCGTCTGTCCATCCCTGCTCACCTCCCAGCTGCTCCTGGGGCAGCGGCGCTGGTCTCCGGGTGAGGGGCTAGCTGCTGCCCAGTCATCCTGCCTGGGGTTTCCAGCAACAACTATTCAGGGAGGGACAAAAGCCCAGCAAATGTGCTCTTAAGCCAGGAGCAGGAGGACCTCGTCCTGAATTTCAATGAGATGGAGCGAGATCCTGGAAAGTTCGCGGTGGTTGTGTAACCACTGGCCCACAGCCTTGCCGGGTCCTGTCTTCACTCTGCCGGGAAAGGGAGGGGCCACCTCAGTCCCACAGTGCAGACAGGTCGGGGGCACCGGGAGGGTGTCTCGGAAGGGGTGCACCTGAGTGAGATCCCCAGCACAGAGTCCCCCAGGTGGAGGCTGGTGCCCTGTTTTGGATACAAAACTTTAAGAAAAAACCTTTTTTTAATCTTCACCAAGGATATTTTTTCTGTTGCTTTTCAGAGAGAGTAGAAGGG